TTTATTAATTATTGTATTATTTTCCATACAAACTGTAAACATATTCTCCCCCACCCTGTATACTATTGAAATGAAGTTCATATTCATCTGAATTAGATCTGTATAAATAAAGATGTTACTTGTAATCCTAGGACAAGAACTAAGCAAATAATTTAAAGAAATCAAAAAAACAAAAAGAAAATTAAAATGGTATATTAGAAAATATTTCAACAAAAGAGGCACTAGTAATGGAGAAATAAAGACTCAAAAGGGATATAAGATACCTAGACTACATATGACAAAATGGCAAATAAATCCTATACTAATAGTTATTATTAATAAAACTCCAGTTAAAAAGTGGACATCGTCAGGATGGATTAAAAAAAATCTATCTGTATGCTGTCTACACAAGACACACTTTAGATTCAAACACATAAACAGGTTGAAAATAAAGACTTGAAAAAAGATACACCATGAAAACAGAAAGCAAAAGACAGCTGGGATGGATACATCAATATCAGAGACAACAAAATTTGTCTCTAAGACAAAAATTGTTATTAGAGACAAAGATAAAAGATCAACACATCAAGGAGATACAAACTTATAAAGGTATATACATTTAATAGAACTCCAAAATACACAAAGCAAAAACTGACAAAACTGAAGGGAAAAATACTCAAAATAGTTGGAGATTTCAATGACCCACTTTCAATAATGCCTATGACAACTGGACAGAACAGGAACAACACTATAAACCAACAAGACCTAACAGCTATCTACAGAACACTTCATGTAACAAAATAGAATACACATTTTTCTCAAGTATACATGGAATATTCTCCAGGAGAGACCAAATGTTGGGCCACAAAACAAGTCTCAATAAATGTAAAAGGATTAAAATCACATAAACTATACTTCTGAAATCACAATGGCATGAAATTAGAAATTAATAACAGAACAAAATGTGGGAAACTACAAGTATATACAAATTAAACAACATACTCTTAAAAAACCAATGGGTCAAAGAAGAAATCACAAAGGAAATTAGAAAATACTTTGGGATGAATAAAAATGAAAACACAACATAAAAACTTAGAAGATATAGTGAAAGTAGTACTAACAGGGAAATTTTTAACTGTAAAATGTCTCAAATCAATAACCTAAATTTCTATCCAAAGAAACTAAAAATGGAGCAAATTAACTTCAAAGTAAGCAAAAGGAAGGAAATAAAGATTATAGTGAAAATGAAATAAAGAATTGAAAACAATGGAGAAAAATCATTAAAGCAAAAAGTTGGTTTCTTGAGAAGGTTAACAAAATTGACAACTTTTAGCTAGACTGATCCCCCCAAAAGGTAGAAAATTCAAATTAATAAAATCAGGAATGAAACAAGGGTCAGTACTACCAATCTTACAAAAATAAAAAAGATTATAAGGAAATACTATGAAAAATTGTATGCCACCAAATTAGATGACCTAGGTGAAATGGACATATTCTTAGACAAATTACAGAAATTACCTCAGTAAAAAATAGAAAATCTGAATAGACTTACGACAAATGAAGAGACAGAACTACTAATCAAAAGTCTTACAACTCAGGCGCAGATAATCTTACAACAACTCAAGCTTGGATTCCATTAAATATTTTAAAAAGAATCAACACCAATCCTTCCCAAACTTCTAAAATACAGAAACGGAGAGAACACTTCCCTTCTAGGGGAATGTGTTGGATGGCTAGTATCACCCTGATACCAAAGCCAAGCAGAGACATCACCAAGAAAATTGCAAACCAATAAACATCCCTTATGAATACCAGTGCAAAATCCTCAAAAAACAAACAACCCCCCCCTAAAAAGTAGACACCCCAAGAACTCAAGTTTGGTTCAACACACAAAAATCAATCAATACACCAAGTGATAGATAAAGAACAAAAAACATATGATTATCTCAACCTATACGGAACAAGCCATCTGACATAATCCAAATCCTTTGATGATAAAGACATCCAACAAGCTAGGAATAAGTGAAATTTCTCAATCTAACAAACAATATTTATGAAAAACCCACAGTTCACATCATACTTAATTGCGGAAGACTGAAAGCTTTTCCCAAATCAGAAAAAAGACAGGCTGTCTCCTGTCACTACTTCCCTTCAGCACGGTACTGGGAGTTCTAGCTGTACCAATGAAGCAAGGGAAAAATCCACACGGGAAAGGAAGAAGTAAAATTATCTCTATATGTAGATAACATGACCTTGTATATAGAAAATCCTAAGTAATCCACAAAAACTGTTAGAACTCATAAGGGAGCTCAGCAAGGTTGCCAAGATACAAGATCAGAACACAAAAATCAGTTATATCCCTATACACTGACAATGAACAATCCAACAATGAAAATTTAAAAAATTCCACTTACAGTCACCCCCAAAAGATTAGCATACTTAAGAAAAAAATTAATAAAAGAAGTACAAGATTTATACACTGAAAGTCATAGAATATTGTTGAAAGAAATTAAAGAAGACTAAATAAGTGAGAAGAACCTGTGTTCAGGAATTAGAAGACTCCATCGATCTACACATTGAACAGTCCCTGGTAAATAAAGCTGGATTTTTGTTGCAGAAACTGAGGTGCTAATATTAAAATTCTTATAAAAATACGGGGAACCAACAATAGCCACAACAATCTTGAAGTAGAAATAAAAAAGGTTGGAGGACTCACATTGGGCTATTTCCAAACTTACAACAGAGCTACAATAACCAAGACAAGTATAAGGAGAGACATATACACAGACTAATGGAATAGAATTGAGAAATCAGAAATAAATCTATACATTTATGAACAATTGATTTTTGACAAAAGTGACAAGAAAATTCAATGAAGAAAGAATAGCACTCTCAAAAATGGTACTAGGACCAGGATATCTATTTGCAAAAGAAAGAAATTAAGTTTCCTACCTCAAACCATTTATAAAAATTAACTCAGAAATGGATCAAAGACCTAAATGTAAGAACTAAAACTATAAAACTCTTAGGAAGAAACTCAGCTGTAAATTTTGGTGACAGATTAGGCAAATGGTTTCTGAGATATGACACGGAAAGCACAAGCAATAAAAAAATAGAAAAATTGGCATTTCTCAAAATGAAAAACCTTTTGTGTTTGAAAGGATACTATCAAGAAAGTGAAAAGCCACAGAACAGGAAATCTGCAAATCATATAGCTCACCATGGACTTGTGTTTACATTAGAAAATATATAGACAGAGTGAATTCTTGTAACTCAACAATAAAAAGACAAACCACTTAAAAACTGAGCAAAGGATCTTAATTGATACTTCTTTATACAAATGGACAATTGGCACATGAAAAGATGCTTGACATCATCAATCATTAGGGAAATGACAATGAAAACCACAATGAGATACCACTCACACCCATTAAAATGACTATCATCAAAGACTGACAATAACAAGTGTAGGCCACCACGTGGAAAAATGGGAACCTTCATACACTGTTGGTGGGAATGTAAAATGATACAATTACTTTGGAAAACAGTTTGGCAGTTCCTTAAAAGTTAAACATGGAGTTACCTAAAAGCAATTGAAGTCCTAGGTATAAAGTAATAGAATTGAAAACCCATGTTCACACACAGACTTCTACATGAGTGGCAGCTTTATTCATAACCACCAAAAAATGAAAACAACCCAATGTCCACCAACTTCATGAATGGATAAACAAAATGTGTTATAGCTACACAACAGAGTATTATTCATCCATGAAAATAATCCTATATTATGCTATACCATGCTACTAACTATACACGCTATATATATTGGATACATGCTATATAACATTATACTAAATGGAAGCAGTCAGTCACTGCACTTTTATGAAATGTGCTGAATAGGGAAATCCATACACAGAAAGTAGATCAGTGATTTCCAAGGACTGGGAAGATGGGAAAATGGGGAGTATTTGCTAAATGGGCATTGTGTTTTTCCTGGGAGTGATGAAAATGTTCTGAAATGTTCTGATATAATTGCACAACCTGTGAATATACTAAAACCCACTGAATTATACATTTGAAGAAAAGAGAAACAGTAGATGCCTTCAAAAATCCTCAAGATTATTATTTTCAACCTAGAACTCCGTGTATGAAGTTAACTATTGAGAAAATGGCTAGGTACAGGAGGGGAAGAACTTTCAGAGACCTAATTTCTCAGCTACCATAGTAATGGTAGCTGAGCTACCAAACAGAAAGCTAATATGTGATGTTTAATTTTTTTTAATTTCAGAAATAGCAATATCAAAATACTACATAAAAATAAAGCAATACATCAGAAGAAATAACTAAAAGACCATCTTGAGTAATGATTCACAAATGGCCGGGAACTGACATATTTGAGTTTTATACCTCCTGCATTTATTACTTTGAAACAAAATTTTAAATTATTATTTAAAAATGAGAAACATCACCATACTCTGAGAAACTGGGCTATCTGAACAATGTAATGGAAAAGGCCTGGCACTAGGTCAGCGGACCTGATTTTAAGTCTTGTATCATTTATTCACCGTGTAATCACAACCTGACCACTGTCGTAGTTTGTGATCTGCCAAACTGAGACAAAAATTACCTGTGCTCCGAACTAAAGAGTCATTCTGAGAAGCCAATGAAATAATTACAGTAAAAGTAGACTGAAAAGCATTATTTAAAAATGAAAAATTATGTACTATCTACATAACACTGCAAATACCCAAGTATTTTAGACTTTATGTATTAAAGTAGGTATCAAAGTGAATATTCATAATCCTACTAAATCCTCCAGGATTTACTTTAACTTGAATCATCTGAATCACCAGAACAGAAACAAGTTCAAGGAATAATTCCATAACCCACCAGATAAATGAAGGAATATGCTTATTAGCTACTAGGGAGATAAGATTTCTTTCTCCTAAGAAAAAGTGTATCTTTGTAGAAATTACGTGCATGCCTGTACATCAATTAAAAGAAAACAAAGAAGCATTTACCCTCACAGTCAAATCCTCATTGCCCAGTGTGATGTGGACCTGAATGGGCGGATAAACACCTTTGTCAGCATGGAATTCCATGGTCGCTCTCATTGCGTTCTGAAATATGTTATATTCCCATTAAAAACAAAACTTAAAAAAGACAGAGAAACTAATTATAATTTTCAACTATATACATACTACTTGAAATTTAAAATTTTTTAATTTGATGGAAATATGCCAAAGAATCATAATTCTTATAACCATATTTAAGGAATTACCTTTTAAAAAAAGTATCATCAGTTTTGGAGGACTTGTAAGATATCTTGATTTAAAGATTCCATCTAAATTCTGCGTATTTGCAAAACCAGAGGTCTCAACACTTTTAATAGCTTACGTTAAAGCAGAAGATTCTATCCAAATGCTTTTATAATTTAGTAGGTAACAGAAAAACCTTATTTATGAAAAGTTTCATCTCCATAAGAACCATTTTGTCATAAATTGCTCTATGGAAAAATGTTTTTCATATAGTATTAAAAGAAATGGTCCCATCATGATATAGAAGCTAATCCAATTTACCACTAGTTTGAAACCAAAGATACTGACATTGCAAAATTGTTCTGATCAGTCTCTAAAGGATACAGGGTACTTGTTGCTAACTCAATCATAAGCACTAAATGATGACATGTACAACTTAATTTAGTGCAACTTAAGCACTAAATGATAACATGACCTGTAGCACTGGACTAGAAATTGATAAGACTAGATAAAGTAAAAAGGGCAAAAGATAGGACTGAATTTGCACACCAGCCAGGACTGCGTATCCCTGAGGAGGAGATTCTATCCTCTCTACCAAAGGCCATTTAAAATTAGGTTCCATATGGAAGCCATTATTCTGACATTACATAAATTCTCACACATAATATGGTAGTATTTCTTTTATTAAGCATCCTGGGGAACAAGATCTTTATGTGACTGAAATTTCAAGGAAAACATTATTTTTAAACCTTTAAGTGCCAATCATTTGTTTAATTACTTTGAAAGATTTTTGGAAGGATTAGATATTTTTTTGCTGTGTTAGAACAAAAGAGCACTCTTGAACCCTTGCTGTTCTAAGACATCATTCTTTCTTTCTCTGTTTCAGTATGTGTTTCTCTCTCATAATCCGGCTGAAAGCCCCCCCCCTTCCAGTCTACCGCTGGCTGAGACATGGTAACCACAGCGAGAGAGAGACCACAGGTTGGATGACACGTGCCATTTTTAGCCACAGGGACCCGAACCATTTACCACCCACTTTCCTGTCTACCAGCAAGTGTTACTGAGGGAAAAAATATTCTCAACATTACTAGCATAAATTTTATTTAATTTTCAAAATTTGTTGTAAAGAACAAATATAACAGCAAAAGCCCTGTAAGTTAATATAAATTACTTTCTAAAAAAATTTTTTTAAGTATACAACAGTAGGACTCTAGTCCTTTAAGGGTGGAAGGTTAAGAGTCATTCTTCTAAATATTTTGTTTTGTAAAAATATAACTTTATTGAGCACCTATAATGTGCTGATTTTGTACTGGACATTTAGTATGTTATCCCCAATCTTCATAATAACCTGGATAGTATTATCCTTGTTTTCCAGAAGAGAAAACTGAGGCTCAAAAGGTTGAGTTACTTGGCAAAGGTCACACACATAATTAAGAGGCAGACCTGGAATTCGAACCCAGGTCTTTCTCACTCCCAAGTCTGAGCTCACCAGCACACTGAGGTGCCCATCAGTGCTGACAAAAGGCTGGTCTCCAGGAGCATGACGTGATGCCGAACATGAAATGACATCTTTTGATGAAACTGAGGAAGACCCGGTAGAGTATTTAACTTTCAGAGCAGATTCCTAAGCTCAGGAAAGGACTGATAAAGGTTATGTGATACTATTTTACAAACCTTGAAAAGTTCAAACACCATGTGATAGAGATGGGACGGTACATAAACCACTTGTATTGGCTGTCCTGGTGACTTTGCTACAGAGCAGAAGAGAAAAATATAAAGTACAGAGAGATGTGCTTCAAGCATTTTAAAGACTATACTGTGTAGTGATGAAAACATTTACTGTGGCGAACAGTATCATTTAGAGGAGAAGTGCCACGCCAGTTCTTCCCAGCATTAGTGTTTGCACCCATGCTCCCCTAGAGGAACACCTGACGGTGACAACATGCGTCCTTAGTGACAGTTTAACCAACCCATCATCCCATTCTTCTCTATGACAGTCAGTCTTTCCAAAGGGCACTCCACCTTAAGGCCAGAATTTTGCTCTCCAAAAAGTGCTACAGTCTATAAATTCTATGGTTCAACTCACATAAATACATTCTTTTTTTAAGCCATTTTTTAAAAAGGTTTCACCTAGGTGGAAGGTTTTCTGTTTTATTTCAGGCATTTCCATGGATTTAGATCTGAAGAAAAAAATTAAGCTAGTATCAGTTTATCAAGAGATGCTAATTTTACATTCAACCACTTAATAGATGCCCAGGTGGGCCTGGGGGGCAGACAGTGTGTAAAATAGAACCTTCAGTAAAGCAAAGGAGTAAGCCCCACCGTACCCTGGAATTCTAATGCAGCCAACAAACTGGATTCTTTTCTGAATAAAACCTTTCTCGGAAACATGGGTAGAACTTCTACAAACTACCCACATAGTTTGGGTTCCCAAACTACCACTGCACACTGTGATTCTTATTTACTGAATGGTACCATTATGGACCAAATGCATTAATACTTCTTTAGGAAAACATCAATCAATTCTATTTTCAATTGGATACCTTCTTCCACTGCTATCCAGAATACAACTTAGTAAAAGCCTGTTTAACTGTCTTCTTCTTAAAGGGTCATGTTAACTTAGGAAATGTCCTTCCCTCTTCTAAATCACCCCACCTCTAGGAGAAACAGTGAGACTCATCAACCTCCTTCCAAGGCACCTCAACCTTTTTTTATCCAAATGGCACTAAGTCAAAAAAAAAGGCCATCAGAAATAAAAAGGTTCTCAAATAAATGAGTGTCTTTCTTTCCTCTTCTACACTTCTAGTCTTTCTACTTCTTCAACAGTAAAAAATGATTTATAATTCAGGGAGTAAAAATCTTCAAGGGTAAACCTTGCATTACTGCAGTGTATATGAAAGTCCAATGTAATTTTCTTGACATCACTTTTTTCTATTTTTTTCTAACCAGAAAACCAAAGATAAGCAAAGAATCATTATTATCATCAACATTATCAACTCTTAAAAATTTTAAACAGGGGAGAGAAAAACAAATTATCTTTCAGAAAGAATCCAACTACATTAACTACGCATATACACAAATATTTTTTAACATGACTGCTTTCCCTCGGCTTTCACAGCCAATGAAGAAGTCCTTTTATATCACAACAAATCTAAATTATTCTTATCATTCCTTCTTACGTAACTGTAATATTGAGCATTGAGGAGAAGACAACATCAGGCTTACCATTCAGTTCTTCAAGCTGTAGTTCAGGAGAGTTAATATAATACAAATCACAAAGACGCCTAGCATTTTCATAGCCATCTAGTGGAAATCAATACAAAGAAACAAAAATCATTAAATAAATTTACATCTGTTTCATGCATTATGATAGCAAGAATATTGACAAATGAAATTTTAAAGTTTTCTGTAGAAGAAAACATACTTTTAAAAACCTTAGTTTGGGGAAGATCTTTTTAAATATGACATGACAAAGCCTAATAGCCAAAAAGGAAAAATGACAGATAGAATACAAAAAAACAAACAAACCCATAAACAAAGTAAAGAGAAACAGCAGACTGAGGAAATTATTTGCAATACATATAATAAACATTTACAGTTTGTGAGGGTTTAAGAAGTAGACCCTCTCATTCATTGTTTCATACCTTATGGGGGCTATCAAAATTTTAAATGCACTTTAACTGTTTTTAATTCCTTTTGAAAATACTAGCAAAAGTCAGCACTATCTAAAAATGTTCACTGCAGCATTGTTGGCAATAGGAGAGAAATGGAAATAAACTATATGTGCACCAAAAGGAGGGTGGACTGATATCTGATACATCTATACGGCCATTCAAAAACCTAGGGAACAGCCACATGTACTGAAGATGATATAATGTCTGTAAACTTGTAGAAAAACATACATAGAGAACCCCATTTTCCAAAAACAACAATGTAAGACGAACATTCATATACATGTACGAGTTTATGTGGTATAAACAGAAAAAAGGATGGAAAGATGCACACCAAACTATTATGAACTATGGGTCCTACAATAGAGAATTAGAAAGGGGGAAGGGAGCTTAAAATTTTTGAAGCGAAACAGATACCTTGATGGTATCGCTCTACTTTGCCTAACAAAGCATTGTGTCAAGACATACTCACCCTATGCATAAGGTTCAATTAACAGTGTAAAGTTATTTACAAACCCAAACTCCTAACATTTTTATCTCGTGATATAAATAGTTGTTTTAACAGCAAGAACTAACACTCAGCAGTTTTGATTCCTGCATGCTTTCTGAAAGGAAAAATGTAGTATTTACCTTGAATAACTTCAACTACATTGCAGTTTGGGTTTATGCTTCCAATGTGTTTTCGATGAGAAGGGCTTCCTTTGTCTTTCCCACCAAACAGTAAAGCTATCAAGAAATAAAATATCAAAGACAAAAAAAAAGGCTAAAATATCCAATGCCCTTTTCCAGAGCTGAAAACTGTTTCTTCAAATGGTACCAAACAACAGAACATTCTTCTTAAACATAAACACAGTATTTTACATTAAAAAAAAACAATACCGCCCTGGCTGGCGTAGCTCAGTGGATTAAGCGCAGACCTGCAAACCAAAGGTTGGCGGTTCGATTCCCAGTCAGGGCACATGCCTGGGTTGCAGGCCAATTCCCAGCAGAGGACGCACAAGAGGCAACCAAACATTGATGTTTCTCTCTCTTTCTCCTTCCCTTCCCCTCTAAAGATTAATTTTAAAAAATACCTATTTTGTATGGGAATGTATTTACTTTTCTTAATATGCAAAAAAAAGTAAAATTGAACATTCTTGTTAAAGGAAAGTTTGCTAAATAAATTTTAAATATACCAACACACATTATTTAGCTTCTTTTCTTGTCTTTCCAGACACTTACAGTGCTGATTGAGTAACATTCGAATTGAAATCCGGCTCATGAAAAAGCGATCCAAAAAGTACTGAACATTCTGGCTGGTGACAGGATCCACCCCGAAGCTCTCCTTGTATTCGATCACACCCTGGGCCATCGTGGGAATAACGTCATTGTGACGGTTCCTGATCCGTATTACAGTATCTGTAAAGCTAAGCAAACCTGTCTCTCAAAACAGATATTGTGACAAGTCAATTTAGTACTAAAGTCTGAGTTTAACCAACTAAACCAGGCAAGAAATCCCTAATTCAGCAAAAGGAGCCTCAGTGCGCATTTTCCTACACTTATGTAAATATATTTCAGATCATAAAATACACTGAATCTATGAACGTGTAAGGACTTCCAAAATAAAGCTTTTGACATTTAATTACATTCTTGAAAGTCTTCAAAGCAAGGCTGAACCACAGCATAATCCTAAAACTGTTACGGTCTTCTTTAACCATTACCAACTAAGACCATCTGAGCGCTCACTATGAGGGAGGTGTCCAGGGCGGTCAGTGTAAGAGAACACAGAGCACTTGCTTCTCGGGAACACATGCTCTGTAAGGAATGAAGGTGAATGAGCCAACACAGCCTGTCTGCTCTGGAACTATTCCCTAGGGTTCAAAGAGAGAAAGGACCACTTAGAACAGAAAAGTAGTCAAGAATTCTAATTTCGCTCATCCCGTGAGTTTAAAAATGGGAGAAAAAAGTCAATTATTGTGTGAAAAGAAAAATTTTCAAGTCATCTGGCCTTCTCATTTCTGTCATTTAGATTAGAAGACATTGTTGCATGGGTAAAGAACTAAGTAAAGGAGAAAAGAAGTTTTAATTATGAAGCAACAAAATCCATTTTGTGACATGTTCATCAGAATTTACACTTTCGAATGAGTGGCTTTCCCATTCAAAGTCATCATCTTGAGTACTGTTAACTTATTCCAATGATGCTCTCACTGCTCAAAACATTTTTGAAATTCCTAGTTTGTAATTAGCTTCAAAACCAAGTTGTTAATCCAAAATACAAACAATAAAACTTCTCGAAAACAGCAAACATATCATCATTTCTAGTCACCCCTTTTATTAGTTTATTTTACCTCTCTTTTTTACAAAACACAAAACAGTATTATTCTGCTTGACTGCTCTGAATGACAGTTTCCAGAAGGTTCCATAGCATAATCCATATAACATAATGTTTACTTTCGAGACTACTGTTGTCCAAATCCTGGTCCCACCCTTTGCCAGCTCTATGACCTTTATGCTACCTTAAGGTACTTAACCTCTCTGTGCAGACAGATAGCATTATCTCAATTTAATTATTTTAATGACCAAATGGCATCATTCATGTAAAATGTGCTGCTCACATAGGCACAGAGTAAATCTGGATGCTATTTTCAGACCAAAACCATGTCTACAAAGTGAAGTGTTGCTCCTGCCTCTAAAGACAGTCAAAATATGTATTAAACAACAAAGAGGTGGTCTCCAACTTTTGAGCAACATTCACTGGAATAATTGGGTAACTGCCTGAGGGAACTGCTTGGGCGTATCAGCTCTGGTATGTTGGTTATTAAAGTGGCCATATTACTTACATCATCTTCCAGACCACAGGTCATAAATGAGATACCCATCGCCATGTTTTTGTAGGCCTGGAGTTATTTAAAAATTTTAATTGCCAGTTGATCCAATTTGAAATTAGAAGATTTTACACTAAAAATGTAGACTTGTGACTTTTCTTTACACACAAAAAAAACACAGATGACCTGGGCAGCATGTTGGTATGGCAATAATTAGCTGCAGCTGAGGTGGCGGCCTTTTGACGTGCATGCCCTGCAGGCCGAGTCCTCAAGTTGTATCCAAGTGGCATTACGGCCACAGCTAGACATCTGTTGATCATCACACTTGAGCTGTGTGATGATTCAGTCTTTTCTTCCAGTTGGAGTTCAGAAGAACATGAAGCATTTTTCATTCCCAGAACAATTTACCGATTTATGTTAATTGCCTTGCCTGTGTGGGCTACTTTAGAGAAATACACTACCACATGTTCTACAGTAGTGGGAAACTAAAAATGAATCAATTTCCCTAATGTGATCCAATAGCAGGTTTAAGCTCAATACATTTATATTTTCATATGATGTTTAAAGGGTACAAAAATTATGTTCAGAATAAAGGTCAAAATAGTATACTTACTCATAAATAGTTTTAGCATCTTCGGCACTTTTGTCCTTAAAATCAAGAAGCTCCTGAAGACTCTGGATATACCTAAAGTACAAATGAATAGGGTACATTTGGTTTTTTTATATTTTGAGAGTTCAATATTGTAAAAATGCTTAAGAGGTATTTTTAACATTTTGTAATTTTTAATTTAGAATAGCACTATAAATTAAATTATGGTTAAAGTAGAATTGTTTTAATCCTCACCCAAGGATATGATTTTATTTATTCTAGAGAAAGAGGGAGAAAGTAAGGGAGGGCGGAACTCAATATGATCAGTTGTCTCCTGTATGTGCACCGACCACCTAGGTACGTGACCTGATCAGGAATCAAACCTGCAAGCTTTTCGTGTATGGGACGATGCTCCAACCAACTGAGCCACCTAGATAGGATGAAGTAGGATTTTTATACCAAATCACATTATAGCAAAGTTCCTGGCACAAACTAGTAGAAAGTGCAAGTTTTCTCCTAAAAACACAGGTTAAATTTGATTGAAGGATTGTGAGGTTTCCTGCCCCTTTTACGTTTTAAACTTCTATACTCTAAAAGAGCTCTTAAATTCTTTAAATTTACCACTACACATTATCGCATAAATAATTATTGTCATGGGAACTGTATCTGTCACCAATAACTATGTGGTCATGAGCAAATGACTTAACTTGTCTTAGTCTCAGTAAAATGTAGAGCCCAGCTGACCTTGGCCTAGGAGTCTAACTTAAATGTCTCTACTTTAAACCTTAATTTTAGATGTTTACGTCCAATCAACAAATATTTGTTGAAAGCCTACAATCTACACCACATAGTTCTTTTAAACAAGACTGAAGAAAAACACAAAAGTCATGAAAATGTACTTTTCAAGGTTGCAAATCACCTGTCAGGAAGGAGGAAAATAAAGAAGGCCAAATGACTTTCTCAAGGTCATGCCACCGAGCACAATGGCAGTGCAGAGTGAGAGCTAAAAACACTTCACTACCATTCAATGACCTTCAAGAGCGTAAGGTCTGGCTCTGACCAGGTGCCGGGTGGCTCAGTGGGTTGGAGCATCATCCCATAAACCAAAAGGTTATGGGTTCCATCCTGGTCAGGGCACATACCTAGGTTGCCAGTTCAATTCCTGGGTCAGGGTGCACATGAGAGGCAATAGATAGATGTTTCTTTCTCCCTCCCTGTCCCCACTTTCTCTCTCCCTAAAATCAATAAATAAATCCTCAGATGAGGATTTAAAAAAAAGATAAAGGGTCGGCAGGCGTCTGGGGCAATGAAAGTGCTTTTAAAAAATCTGTAAATCGGTATGTTGGTTTGGAAAGCTGGTGCTGACAAGCAATTTGCCTCTCTACATTCCAAAGTCAAATGATTCTGATACCTACTGTTTTGCTTTAACCATTAACTATCTCTTCACTGGCAAGAAAAACTGCTCTTTTTTCAAGAGGATTTGAATACTTAGCATATGTTACACACAGATCAGGTTTTTAAATGTAGCATATGCTATTTTTAATGAATTTTAAAAAAGAAATAAGCTTCCAGAGAAAATTCTGTTCTCCTTTATACTCCATCACAGTTCCTAAACAAATGTCTCTTCCTTAAATGTTTGTAATTGCTCCACATTTGGACTGCATGGCATCTATCATCATATACAGTTGGCCCTTGAACAACTAGGGAATTAGGCCACATCTAGACATCTGGTGACTCCTGACCCTTGCACTCCAGTCACAAAGTCACATGTAACTTTTGACAGTCCAAAAAGTTAACTACTAATAACCTACTGTTGACCAGAAGCCTACCAATAACACAGTCAACAAATATTCTGTAGGTTATATGTATTATATACTGTATTCTTATAATAAAGTAAGCTAGAGAAAAAATGTTTTCAAGAAAAGCATAAGGAAAATACATTAACTGTATTTATTGAAAAACATCTGCATGCAAGTGGGCCCACACAGTTCAAACCCATGTTGTTCAAGGGTCAACAGTATATAGCAGTCGTACTTCTCTCACTTATTATTTAAAATTGATGTTAGGCCCTGGCTGGTGTGGCTCAGTGGATTGAGCACAGGCCTGCGAACCAAAGGATCCCCAGTTTGGGGCGCACAAGAAGCAACCACACATTGATGTTTCTCTCCCTCTTTCTCCTTCCCTTCCCCTCTCTCTAAAAATAAATAAATAAAATATTTTTAAAAATTGATGTTAGATCAGCTTCTTGTACAAACTATAATGCCTACAAAAGGAAAGCAAGGATTTCTATGAATCATGATTGGGAAATGTCTTGCAGCCAATTTTTTCCCATTAACACCGAACTCTGTGGTCCTGATACATCCCGATATGCCAAGGTTGTGGGTTTGATCCCTGGTCAGGGCACATACAAGAATCAACCAATGAATGCATCAATAAGTGGACAAAAATCAAAGTCTATCTGTCTCTCCTCTCCTCCTCTCCTTCTTTCTCTCCCCGACCCTCTTCCCCTACCCCCTCCTCTCTCTTTAAAATCAAGTAATCAGCCCTACCCGGTGTGCCTCAGTGCATTATACACTGGCCTTCGAAACAAAGGGGTTGCTGGTTGTAATTCCCAGTCAGGGCACATGCCCTGGTTGCGGGCCAGGTCCCCAGTTGGGAGTGTGTGAGAAGCAACTGACTGATGTTTCTCTCCCTCTCTCTCTCCTTCCCTTCCCCTCTCTCTAAAAATAAAAAAAAAATCTTTAAAATAAATAAATAAAATCAGGCAATCAATCAATAAAAAAACAACTCTGGCATGACTATTTTTTTTGAAATGTATAGTGATTAAGAGAATAAAACTATTAAATTAATAACAAGAATGCCTGTATTTAAGTGGCCACATGTGCTGTACACCCCTTCATAACTCTATTATTTTTTAGAAGAGAGATCACAGGGGTTTTTTGTGTGTGGTTTGTAAAGGCTTTTTTAAAATTCATTCTTTTTAAAATTTTCTTTATTTATCTTTAGAAGGGAAGGAGAGAAGGAGAGAAATATCAGTGTATGGTTGCTTCTGGTGCACCCCCTGCTGGGAACTGGCCCCTGCTGGGAACTGGCCTGCAACCCAGGCATGTGCCCTGACTGGGAATCGAACCCCGAGCTCTTGTTTCGCAGGTCCGTGCTCAATCCACTGAGCTACACCAGCCAGGGAACAGTTTCTACATTATTCCACTAACTTCTAACTGTTTTAAAATGATAAAGACTTTACCTTTTGTGACTTATAAAGATACACTTCAATAAAATTAATTTAGTTTATAAAAATACGCACCCTTTAATACATTCCACCTTTCTAGCTGCAGCACGGCACAGCAGAAACAGAAACTCTGGGTTTGAACCCTAGCTCTTATCTTGGTGCTACTGGCTTAAGCAAAAAATTTACCTGCTAAAGCCTGTTTCCTCATCTGTAAAATGAAGATAACAATGTCTACTGAGCAGGGGTGTGGAAAGGATTAAAGATACTGTATGTAAACCCCTCACTTCAACAATGGTAGTTATTATTACTGTAACATCCCTGCAGGCTTAATAACATAAATCTTAAACTTAGCGTCTGCATTTCTGTGCAGTTAATTGTTTTTCTCAAAACCAAGGAATGGTAGAATCTAGGATTCAAAGGATAAGCCCAGATGCGCCCCCAAAAAGGAGGACTGGAACACTGCTGCTTATTTTAATATTCTACTAAAGACTAAAAAAGGATTTGCTTTAGCCTGGTGTTTAGTCCCCAGCTCCATTAAAACTGCAAACATGGGAATCTTACCAGCTTTGTACCAATTGAACTGATGGCGTCCTGAGAAGATTATCTGGAAGAAGACTTATTTCTTTCATTATATTTGCCAATCTAACAGGCAACTCTTGCCGCAGAAACATAAATGAGGTCTTTTCACAAGCATTCACGGATCCTGAAACCAGACACGGTGGGAACAGCAGTAAGTGGAAACCAGAAGGCAGGAGAAGCCAAGAAGCAGGGAGAAACACAGGGGAAGTTATTTTGCCAGAAACTTCAGAGGGGCAGCATCACCATAATTACAGGGTAAGTAAAGAAGAGAAGGCGAGATGATAACCCAGTCTCTAGGGCATCCCAAATAACCTTCCGATTCCTGACATTACAAGCACTTTGTAGAGCAATGAAGACACTTTCCTGTCTCCATTACTTTCACCCTCACTGTGATCTCCTGTCTTAGAACTTAGGCAACCTGAGCAAGTCTGGGCAAAATGAGGAGTTTGATCAACAGCACTTGCAAAGCCTACCCCCTATAAACTTGCTGCCATCATTTAGAACCTGTTTCCTAAATCCAGGTTTATAAGAAGTGAATACCTGTCTAAAACACAGAAATATTGTCATGTGCATGAGACCCACTATATAAATTCCCATAACCAAAGAGTAATGTACAGACGGGCTTTCAGGAAACAAAAAGCAAAAAAATACCAATGCCCTCAGCGACCTTCTTCCGGTGCCTCCCCCAGCAAGCCCCATTCAACTGTTTAATTCCTGGAAAGCAGCCTGCTCATTACTCCCCTCCTGCATCAGGATGCTAAGCAGAATACCTGCAGAACCCTCTGCAAGCATTCTGGCAAGCAGGCCCATTTAAAGTTAATTTTCCATAAAAAAATTAGATTACTGCAGCAATTCATTTAAAACTCACTAATTTAATCTTACTGTTTCAGCAAAGACAACCTTAGCAAAAATTAAATTGCAACAGCAGGAATTACAGGATTAAAGGAAAACATTTGAAGGTGAATGGCGTACTTGTGAACAAGACCACATTCGCCCCTTAAGCACACTAGAGTCATTTCAAAGTAAAAACAAAAACCAAGGGCATGAGCCCAAAAAAAACAAAAACCCTGCCACTGTAAACCACAATTTTAAGATAAAGCTGCCAGCCATGCCAACATCTCTCAAGCCCACTGGTGATCTGTCAGTGACCTAACAGCACTCACAACGCATCAGACAGCTTTTTCTACTTAAACTTTATGACTACATTAGAGTGTATTAGAGTTTTCCCTTTTCCCCCCTCAATGCCCCCACATGAGAAGTCAAAGTTAAAAGCCTAACTTTGAAATTCTTCTGTAATTTGTTACATCCCTTCTAGAAGGCTAGCACCCATCAGAGAAGGAGGAAAGTGGATAGCCGCCTCTGCGAGTGTGAAATGCGGTAAACCCCAGCGTCCTGTACTCATGCACTTTACACGTGCTCAAGACTTATTTTGCTGATGATGAAATGAACGTGCTATTGGTGGAAACAGTCAAGCCAGTAACAAGAAAAACATTCCATGAAACACTGGGCCAGTTATAACCTGCCTCCCCGATCGTCGTGCCAAGTTGATGCAATCATCACACAAAACTGGGCATTTATCATCTGTCTGCAGAAACGGCGCACGACTCCGGGAGGTGTCCCCGCACAGCCTCTCCAGGAACAGGGGTCTTCTGGAGGGGCCTGGCCACCGGGGTAGACGCTCGCACGTGCTCTGCTAGGCGGATGGTCGTTCCCCACGCGGCCCCACAGGTTTTTCAACAACACAGTAAAAAGGCACACGCCCCCAGTTATGCACCTGAGCGTCGGGATCTGCCCTCGAGGGAGGAAGGAAACACCGAAGGCCCAGGGGTGGGCGGCGGGTGGGAGAGGCGGACGTTGAGGGGGAGGCGGGCGCAGAGGCGACCGAGGCCGCGCACAAAGGCCCTAGGCCCAGGCCGCACTCACCGAAGTCGAGGAACTGCTTCATGGAGAGCGGCGACGGCGAGAAGCGCGCATAGAAGTCCACCTGGCCCGGAACGCCGCCTTCCGTCGCCACGCCGGAGCCCGAGTCCGAGGTGAGGCTGCGGCTGGCGCCCGGGCGGGCGGAGCGCGGCCCCGGGCCGGGGCCGGCCGAGGCGGCTCGGCACAGCAGCCGCGCCAGCCTCATGCCGAGCGAGCTCAGCCAGAGGAGCCGGAGCCCGGCCCGCCAGGTGGCCGCTTCTCCGCGGAGCTGTACGTGAGGGACGTGGCGATCGTGGGGGCGGGGAATCTGTCAGCGACGGTCACCACACCACCGCGGCTGCCGCCCCCTTCGCCGGGGCCCGCCCCCCAGCGCGGTTGGGCGGGATCCGGAGAGGGACGCGGGGAGGCGGGGAGCGCGCGGGCCGCCGCGAAGCCTGAGTACGGCTGGGTCGGCGCTGGTCGGGCGGCTGGGAGCCGCCGTGTACGCGGGACCGCCAAGCCGCGGGGCTGCCTGCCTGGATCGGAGCGGGTCCCAACCCCCTGCCGAGAAGCCTGCGAGGGCCGGTGCCGCTAAGTCGCACTGGCGGGGAGGGGCACCACCCCCCCCCCCAGCCCTTTTGGGACAAATCCCACTTTTCTGCTTCCTCTGGCTCTGCCAGAAGGCTCAGGGACAGGCCCGCGCTCCACTTCCAAACGCCGCGGGTCTTGCTGCGTGTACGTTCCAGAAACTCCTCTGTACGTAAGCCCCACATTTACAGGTGAGAGTGTTTAACCCAGAGTGTTTAAGGAGACGACCCTTGCGAAGCAGTGGTACATGAATACGAATGGTGAGCACTGGGGAGTACGGCCGTAAATAGTATCAGGGACAACAGTCCCAAGAGATCTTTGGCAGGCGACTTGAAGCGTTATCTGCAGGCATTCTTGGCATAATCAGCAATGTATTTAAAGGATCCGTGCACTCCGACTGCCCATCTCTGTAACTGTCATTCTACGGTCAGAGTTCGGTTGCTCCACCCTTTCCAGATTTCTAAATACTGAATATAAGACTAGACAATTTCTAATATTGGTTTAATTGTATAGACAACTTCAAAGAATATAGTGTACAGTGAAAAATACTGCTGTCCCTTCTCTCCACTGCCACTTCCCCATATATTTCCCCCCAGTGCTTTATAGTATATCTTAGATGCCAGAAAATTACTTTTCCATGAGTGTGAAGTTTATATATATAATTTTTAAAACCTGAAAATAAAAAGCCAAAGTAAGAGGCAACACACATTTATTTGAGATCACAAAAAATAAATATCCTGGAAGCACTGGTTTGGGCAAAAACCCAGATAGCATTCTGATTATGGGGTAAAGGCAAGGGGTTTTTATGAGAAGAAGAGGAAGTATATGAATAGAAAGAATTTCTACTACTAAGCTAAGTTATTTTTTAGCTGTATATGGCTGTTTACTGATTCTAAAGAATGTCTTTCATTATCAGTCCTTGTACTCGGGAAGCCTGCTCTCCTGTTAGTTTTACAAGCAGTTGTTTGGAAAATAGTGCTGCTCTGGCCCAGTTTAAAGGTTATTGGTGGGGGCGGGCAGAGGGGGAAAAATTGGGATAACTGTAACAGCATAAACAGGAAGGAAGGAAAGAAGGAAGGAAGGCTGTTTTGCCCAGTTCAAACATCCCAAAGGTTCAAGGAGTAAGACAAACAATGCAGTTGCTCTGGAATGGCTGCCATGACATAAATATATAGTATATATTTGTGGTATACCATGACAATTCATTTCTCCATAGTGGTCATATCTTGGGTTCTGTAAAAATAGAGTGAGATGAGAGTCTCTTCTTAGGGTGTATTAGTCCCACACGTTTAGCTTCAAGAACATTGACCACCTAGAAACAAGGGTAGGTGGTTGGGGGGATGGGGTGGTAGCAGAACTAACACATTCTCTGAAACTGGTGCCTCTAATCATCTGTTAACATGGTGGTTGTAAAGACTTTGATATAAATGCTTTACAGGAAGCAGTAGGAACATAAGATCATGATATGCAGAGAAAGTAATCAAAGGGGAAGCAGTATCTCATTTATGTTTGCTGCCCCACAAACCATACTCTGTACCTTCCCAACCTAGCCAGCCTTCATCCATTCTAGGAATATTTGTTGAATGCCTACTAATGTACTAGTTACTAGTAATGTTCTACATGATTGGGAATAAAGCCACATTCAGTTCAGATAGGATCCCTTTCAGATATGCCTGCTCTTACAAAGAATATACTGTAGTTTCTAACATTGTAGAATTTTATGCCATATCTTTGAATATTAAGAGCCTGCTCTGTGAAAGCATAATTAGGTTTGTTCTTACTGGCTCAGGCAGCAGATGGAGGACTTCTGGTTGGAAACTAGGGAGCTAGACCTGACTTACATGTGGAAAAACTTTCAATGGTTACAGCCATTGTACTGTGAAATGGACAGCCTTGAGGAGGTAGGGGTTCTTGTCCATTATCATTAGAATCTAGACAACTGCTTTATAAAGATGGTGTGGAGAGGATTGCGGGGAGGCAGTGTAGTGTAATCAAAAGTGCCTGGGTTCTAATTTCAAATTCTGGTTCCATGATGTACTGGCTATGCGGCCTTGAGTTACTTAACCTCTCTGAGCTTCAGTCTCCTTACCTAAAAAGGGAGGATAGTGTCTGTCTCACCATGTAAATGTGACCTAGACAGTATAGATGTCTGTGTTAGCACAATGGCCAGGACGTACTAGAGCTATTCAATAAATAGTATCTATTGAGCATTATTGCTGTTTTTTTAAAATTATTTCCTTATTAGGATTTTATCAGAACCAGTCACACACGTTTGTCGGGAAGACAACTTTACCAGAGGATTGGGAGGAAACAACTTGAAATTGAATAGCAGACCTCCTTAAATTTGTCCCTCAACCATTTCCACAACTCTGTTCCAGCCTTCCTTCATGTTGCCTTTCTCCTTCCTTACAGACCACTTCCTGAGCACCAAATTCTTCTCACGCCAGGATGCTCAGTAGTATTCAACTCCCTCACCTCTGTTCACAACTCTGAGCAACGCTAGCTGCTTTCCACCCGAGCGTGTCCTGGTGCTCAGCTAAACATTAACTTGCATGGAAGAACAAAGGCCCCGCAGAACCCTTGAGATTTATTTTAGCAGGTTATTCCCCGATAAACTAGTCCATCTGTTTTATAACATGTGTTTCCTTTTCTCCAAAGTATATTCACAAGGTTCCACCCAATATACAGAGAATGAATAGATGAGAACACATAGAAAATGGCACCAACTTTTTTCCTTCTTCATCAAAGCCTTGGGGCCCAGAAGCTTGAGAGAACATTAGATTTTTTTCAGATATCTGTTAACACAGTGGTTGTTAAGACTATTACAAAAATAATATCTTATACTCAGGGAGCAGTATGAACAAAAGACCCTAAGATGTGCAGAGAAAACTAATCAAAGGGTGGTATCTATTTTTGGGAGTGGGGGGGAGTAATCTCATATACAGGTAACTAAAGGTCTAATAGTCTATCTTTATGTAGATATAAAGTATAATGATATGCTTAGGCAAAAATCTTTGTATGTGTCATACTTGGGCTGGATCCTCCAATTCACTGTAAATTTGGTTCACACTGGGCCAATTTGACTGGAGAGTGGAAAAAGCAATGGAAAAGAAGCTAGTCCATGTCACTTCGTCCATCTCCATCACCTTCTGGCTTCATGGGGCTCAGAGTAAAACTAAGGGCATTATGACTTTCGATTAAACTCAGTTTTAAATCCTATCTCTAAATCATATCCCTCTCTCTTTCTCTCTTTCTCTCTTTCTCTCTCTCTCTCTATATATGTGTATACACACACACACTTCAGAGACCTAGCCTTCACTCAGGGTCATCAGTAACTCCAAGGCAGCAGCAGACCACAGCCCAGACCTGACTAATGGTCACCAGTTCTGGACCTCTGACAGGCTAAATATAACATCTGGACCTAAGTTATGTTTCACATTCTGAGCCTGACAGAGGCCGGAAAAGATCTCAGAACTGCCCTCAAGACCTGAAAACAATTCATAGACAGATCAGCTCCCAGTACAGCCCTGAACCCCTAACCACAATGTCCTGTGATTTTGCTCTATGTATTCTATAACCTACAGGGCTTTGGGGAGTTCAGGCCTTTGAGCATCAGCTTCCCGTTCTCCTGGATCACCGTTCACAGTAAAACAGCCAGTATGGGTCCACTGCTGTTCCGTGTTTACTGTTTGGCTCCACTGGCACCACGTGGACAAATTCTTTCTGTTCTATGACTAGAGGACAAGAGGAGAAGAAAGTCATGATATTTACTCCCCTGCCCCTTCCTGCCAGGACATGATTTGTGTCCCTCTTAAGTGTGGCTACTGCTCCCTCCCTCTGACCAGTGAGCCATAGAGGTGGTACCAGTTTCCCCCTGTTGTTAATTGGGGGGCTTCACCACCCCTAGCTGCTTACCTCTGCCCACCACTCTGCGAGTAGCCCCTTCACCCTGCAGTTCCCCTGTGGAGTGTGCTTTCATTCCCTGTCCCTGACTGATACAGCAGAAATACAGTTTTCAAAAAAGGAAAATTATGGCTGTCATGCAGCTATAAAACATACATGTCCTCGTTATCTCAATAAAGCTGAAAAAATGAACAGAAAATTTCAATTAATAACTTAATTAAATAAAGGGAACCAGAACTGATGTTACAACCTGTTCAAAGAAGTCAAAAAAAAAACAGATTACAGAAATGTCTTTGCAAAGGGCTATAAATGCTTTTCCCTGTAGGAATCTGGAACACTTCACCTGCCAGTATTTGCATGGATGTTGGCAAGATTTATTTGTATTATCAGTTATCTACAATTTACAGTTATTATGATTTCAAAGACATAAATCAGAATCAGATACCCTGAAAAGTTGTGCTCTAAACAGTGCATTGTTATTGAATGCCAACTGTAACTGAAAAATAAAAAAACAATGAAAACACTGTATTGTATTCCACTGAAGCGAGACTCCTCCCTGCAAACGTGCATTCTTTAAGGAGTACTGCCGTTTGAGTTACTACTTGTGCGGTGTTGTGGAGGCCATGGTGTTCACCAGGATTTGTTTGAGTGAAAACACCGTATGTATCTGGAGGAAGCACTGTACTTCGATGTGGGGTTGGTTGGAGAGGATCCCTTGGGAAAGCTCCAGGACCGGCTCTGCAGGGAGCCAGGGAGGGGTTCCCTTGGCTGAGCAAAGGGGAAGGGGGGTTGGCAGAAGATTGCAAAGGCTATTTCACAATGAGCACTCCCT